GTCTGAATTGGTTCTTTATTAAATCTATTTAAATAAAAATAGGTTTAACGAATACCCAGGTTTACTGCTACAAGGAAACTTTTGAAGTGAGGTTTTTAGTAAAATATTAATAGCTTAGTATACAATAAATAAATTTGCCAAGTTTGATCAAAATATATCCAATTAAGATTTTTGAGTTTTCTCCGTTACCAATAACCGTACAAAAACACTTTTATATACTAAATTATTGGTTTTTTTAAGTTCTTTAAAAAGGTCTGAAAAATTAGGAATTTATTGTTTTGGGTCAAAATTGAGAAAACAATTTTTTACCCCATAAAACCCCCGTAAAACCTCGTTCCCATGGTTCGATCATGCTGGTTCGCGAACTCATTCAAGTTTATCCCGCCTTACACCTTTAAACCAAATTTAATCAAAACCAGACAAAAATTACTCAAGTTATCGCGTTCACGGACGTATGTATATATATATTTGAACGAATGGTGTTTTTGGCCTATGGGGTCATCAAAATGAAAATTTAAATCGGTCCTGGGCCTAGGTCTTACCGTGCCACCTACGGTAATAGCTACCTCCCTATAGGGAAATTCGCTTAAAGAACACTCCTGTATTACTTTTTGATTAATTGTATTAAATCAGCAGAAATAGGGAAGTGCTGCCTGTGCGTCTGCTGATGAAAACACTTAAATAAATACAATACTATCCTACTTTAGGACAGGGTAGGTAACTATGTTTACTTTTTACATATATGTAATTCTTGATGTTTGGCACTACCGAATCTTATTTATTTAATAAATTTATCATGATGAGTACATCGGTTTAATAATTCAAATGTTCTTATATCGCAGATGAAGGGCCTTTGGCAAAAATCCCGTGCTTCCATGTCTTTACGTTTTTTTAAATGCACGAAGAACTTTTGTTGTGTATTTATTTATTTTTTTAGAGTTTTTTCCCTGATACATGAGTACCAGGGGACCGAGCATTGCTCGTGGTGATCAATGTGTAGGGGACATTAAAAAAATTAACATAGGCCTACATATTTACAATTTCCATGATATTATAAAATACAGTCTAACATATAGGGAAAGGTTTAAGTAGACGTGGTTTATGCCTGTTTTCAGCCTGTTACTAAACGCGTTTCTATGCAGTAAATTGTAGCTCAGACCACCGACATAGAATAGTAGTGAAATATACACTTAGCATCGCTAACGAAAAAATAAAATTGAATGGGTAAAAGTAAAATAATGCCAAGGGAGAGTTTGTAATTTGAAAAGATTTGAATGACATTAAGAGTGGTATTATTATTCAAAACAAGTAAAGGCGTACTTTGTAAGAGTAACGATGTCATTGGGAAAATACCAATAATGAATTTACACGGAACCCATTTTATCGTGCTCACGTATTGGTGCTATTGGCGCAACATTTTGTGCACGGCTCTGTCATTGAAAACCATTGTAGGCCTGAATAAACTCGCATTAGTGACACAGTTAAAAAATCCAAAATAAAAATTCTGCATTTAAAAATAGGAAAGGGGCGGATACTATACTGATATAGTAAAAAGTAGTAGTAGTAGGTATCATTACTACTTTTTACTATATCAGTATTGTAATTTATGTGGGCCATTGTATAAGAATTAATGTTGTATAATAGTTAATATCATATTCTATAGTTTATTTCCCTATATTTGAGATCGGGTTTCCTCTACCATATTTGTTAATTGACTTACCAATTAATTGACTTTAATTAATTAGTTAGTTAATTGTCGTTTGATGCATCATGCAGTTTTGTGCTAGGCCTAATAATAAAATATAACTATTAATCTAGAACTCGAGTTGGCCTCTAAAAACATAATACCTTATTTGTTTTCCGTGTAAATCATCTCCATTTTCAATTTTACCACGTTTAATTAAGATTTAAAGCCAATTTCTCTTCGGTAGACGTTCCCTCTTCATTCATAATTTAATTAACAACCATTTCCATACGGAAGAACAATCAATATTGAAATATCAATAATGAAGTTCAATAAAAAACTCGTGATAATTTTTAAAATATCAGCTGTAGACCAGCATTGTTGCGAGTTGCGAATATTATGCGCTCTCTGGTAGCGACGATATTTTTATGTCCATATCGTTTCTATTTTATAATCTGTGGGATCGTCACACAACCGCCCTTTCTGGTGGCACATCGTCAAAAACTACAAAACGTCCTTGGGTTTTCCTCAAGACTTCTTGCTTAGCATTAGTGTACAGTATTATCTTGTGCGGTAAAGTATTCTACGATTTTGAACACTCGTAATTATCCCGTTGCTTAATAAAACACCCCAGGTGTATTAAATAACCAATGCTTAATGGTATTTAGGGGAATGTCGTTTTCTTTTGTAATATATTTATTATTTTTTCCACTGTACTGTAGATGGTTTGTTACAAGCATATGTTTCAATTCATTTATTTACATCTTCGCAAAACTGTCATGGCTACCTAGCTTTCTATAAGACCAAAATGCTAAATATATTGAAAAAGTGTTTTAACGAAAAACGCATTTTTCCAGAATGGTGGCTTGGTGGCTACGATTTATATTGTTTTTATCCTGAATCTAAGATATTTCTAACAATTTAGGCGAAATCATAGGAGCCGTTTTTGAAATCATTGTGCGCAAACGTTACTCGTATTATAGTAGGCCTACAGATAGATGCACAATTGAAAACAGCTGTTTCCCTGTAGTTTGACAAACACTAGTTATTTACCACTCTGTCTATAGAGCCTTAGCAAATGAGACGGGCGTATAGGAGTCATACGCAGTGATTTGATTGGCTGCTTTACACGTTCCCCATTAACATTGAGTTTAAATGTTTGCAAGTTAAACTAAATAATATAATTAGTAACTTGTATGTTTAAATCAGTAAAAACTGATTTCCGAGTTCTTGGTGTACGCAATCTTCGCCTGTTAATCATCATACAAACTTCTTGAGGATAAGTTCTGTTGCCAACAGAGGTCGAAAAATTGGTTTGTTTGTTATGAATTCTTTGAGTCAATATTATTTACTTGATTTTTGTTGTAAATACCGGTACATAAAAATATGTTGGTTTTTTAAATTGTAAAATTTTAATCTACTATGAGTTGGGATTATTTCATTTTCATGTCTTGTATTACTTATAGCATATGGAAGATGTAGAACTTAGCGCCTCATTTTTAGAAATTAGTATGCAGTCATAGATGTATTGTCCATAAACTGTGGACATTTCAGGATTTTCGAAGTCTTCCTCTTTGGCTAATTGATAATTCATAATCTAGTTTAAGAATATATTATGACTGTTTTTTGTTGTTTTAGGGTAGACCCTACTGTCCGAATTTATTTTTCGTGTTGGAAAAAAAGTCCAAAACTTAAGTGTGAGTGAATGTATAAAAAATAACTAAAGAGTATTGTCTCTAACCCACAGTATTAAGACATTTTCTTAAGTGCGTAGATTCCAGATTTGAGGGTTTGCTTTTGATGGGAGCAGAAAATTATATGGAAATGCAGTCGTGCAAACTGTGGACTGTTATGAATAGATCAAATCAATGTGTCTAATCAATTTGAGAACTGAACTTCTCTATGGCTTCTGAAACTCTCAAGCTTGATATTTCAATAGACAATTTTTTTTCTATGTCAAAAAAGGTGCAAAAAAAATTATAACTAGGCCTACTCTTAAATTGTTGTAATAATGATAATTTTTTACGGTTGATTTTCATACAAAGAATAATAAAATATTTCCCTTTATTTTTTATCATCCTACGGTATTCATTTTAAAATAATTGTAAGATCTTAAATAGACAATTATTGGGGTTTGCATTAGGATTACAAAAGTCACAACCAATCTCTAATATCTCAAATGCCTACAGTTTTTAGATTCTCATAAAAAATAACTTGGACAAAGTAAAGGCATAAATACTAATACATTTGACACCTTATTCTTCAATCGGGAAGTTTTTTTTTTGTTATCAAATTTAACAGCAATAAATAAACCTTCAGTTTTTTTATTTATTTTTTTATGATGGTTCCCATAACAGGGTTTTTATTTCGGCATTCGTTTTTGAACACGATCTCTTCTTTTAGTTACCATCTTCAGTGAAACTCAAGGAATCATTATCCCAACTGATAAGTGATTAGAACCAGACTAGACAGTAGACGCTATATGAGCAGTAGTGTCGCTATGAGCGCTGTCCGTAAACAACTTTGGCAGGTATCGTAGTATCGTCTCAAATTCGTCTGTCCGCTGCCACTACCAATACTCAAAAACTAAAATTCCCCGTGATTCCTACCTTAGTCCTAGAATAAGTAGTCCAGAAGTTGACGAATAAAGTTAGTCTCCGAATAGACTAGTCCGCGGACTAGGGAGTTAGTTCGCGAGCTCTGAAACCCGATTTTTTATTCGATGACTAACTTTATTCACTTATTAAGTAACTCCAGGATTACGTATTCCCGAGCTCGGAAACCCGCCCATTTTCTAAACGTTCAAATTTTTAATGCAGTTCATTTTTTTATCTGTTTTACAGTCTTACCTTGAGTAAAGATTAAGAAAATTGTTTTTGGTTTCTGAGGACCTGAGAATGAATACCTAGTGAAAGGAACCAATTCATATTTTAACATGCATCATATTATCATGATAGAGCTTTGCTCAAGGGAAATTTCTTTAATAAAAACATACAAGAAACTTACAAGTACCATTGGCAATAGGCGAAGTAGTTTTGACTTCTAAATAATATACAGGAGTCAGATTCCAAATTAACCATGTTCTTAGCTTTGAAACAAACCTTACTTCCAAATTTACATTTTACCTACGGGTGTGTATTCAAACATTCTTTCTCAAATTAAAACTACTGGTATTGAAAGTTAGTTCGTCGTCCACAATTGTCTCTATGACTACCCTCCAATATTTATTGATATAGGGTTTCCTGTTGGTTGTAATATCATTGTACATCTATATACACTACTCTATATCAAGATGTGTGTTTTTTTTTTCAGAATCGTTGTTGTGCCGCCTTAACTTTGCGCCAAAACCAACACAAGTCTTCTAAGAGAGGTATGATGAAGTGCAATAAGTGATTACTTAAATTGACAGCAATGATCCTACTTTTGATACATTTCCTGCTCTTCCATCTCTCGTATTCAGCAAATGACTGTTGGTGGAGCGGATGTCAACCAAACACCCGGGCTGTAACTGGTTGTGGCCAGTACAATAGGACTCAGCAAGACATCAGAGGGTGTAAAGGTGGTTCAGAATACTACTGTTGTACACTGGACACAACAACAACTCGCGCCCCTCAAACTGGTTGTTGGTGGACTGGTTGTCAACCCAACAACTGGAAAGTAACAGGTTGCGAACAATATAGTCTCGTGCAATATAATATCCAAGACTGTGACAATGGTCACAAATATTTTTGCTGCCCTGATAGTAACCATCCAAAGCCGCCATTGACGACCGATCTTGAGTGTGTTTGGTCTCCATGCCAACCATCAAACTGGACCATCAGGGGTTGTCCTCCTTGGATGCTGCAAATTGGCTCCCAGTCTTGCGGAGAAGGACAGGGAGACATTTTTCAGTGTTGTGAAAGCAAACAAATACCCGATGACGACGATGATACAAACTTAATTACAGGAGAATCTTTCCAGAATTTTGTTAAATACTTATTAATCAAAGGTAAAGATTTTGCAGTAGAACCAGACAGTTTACCGTGTATAGCTATTGATGTAGAAAAGAAGTCCATACTCAAAATTAAAAATGAAGGAATTCGCACTTGTGACTTGTGCCCTTACTTTCCACAAAAAAGGTTTGTAAATGTGTTCTTATCAAATGAGCCTTTGGACGTTGAATCTAATTTACTCTTTCCGGAATGTTTCGGTTATTGCTTTGACAGAGATGACTGTGTGGCATTTAGCTATGACTATTCAACTCGTACTTGCTATATATTCAATAATACAATTGGTGTTTTTACCAAGAGCTCACAATGGACAACCGTCTTTATGACACAACCAATGGGGGTTTTGGAAAACTGGTCTTATTTTCGACATACTTCCATAACAGGAGAGGGTTTCAAACAATCACGAGAACAAAACTTCAAAGAATGTTTAAAAAAATGTAACCACGATGATAAATGTAATTATGTGTCGTATTCTATAAAGACTCTGGACTGTGTTATGATTACTTCTCAAGATAAAATACAATATATAGACATGCAATATGGATTTATCTCTGCTTTTAAAATAACATCTCTTCCACTTTCTAGGGATGCTAGTTCTAGGTTCATTGAAATTGGAGAAGAAATCTTTGGCCAAGACCAAACTTCCGATATAAAAAAGAACGAGTGCGCTTCAATAAGAAATGAAACTCATTCAGCATTTTATTCTAAATCATGTTTCACATATCCAGGAGTTGGGTGCGATTCAGTGACAGGGTGCAAAACCTGTTACTACCCTGAAAAAACAAATTATTTTTATAATCTTATTATATGTCCAGACAGTAAATGGGTTGTAAATGAAAATATCAAACAATCTATTCAAAGTGCTTTGATGTCGTGTTTAAAAGACTCATTCTGTATTGCTCTTGGATATGACACAATAACAAAAAACACAAAACAGTTAACTATCGAGGACCTTCCGGGTAACAACTCCCCAACAACATTTATAATGAGATATCCAATAATATTTACAGAAAATCAGAAGCTAATAATGAACCACGATTTGTTGTCCAGCTACGATATTGAAAGGATATCAAATGATAATAACTCTTTTCATGAAATAGGTGGAAAGTCTTTCAAAGATTGTTTTAATATTTTTGATTCAAGCAATTCTTACATAAGAATGTCTTATGCAAATAAGATGTGCAAAATTTCATCTAAAGAGGTTAAATATGTAAGGAATGATAGATTTATCACAGTTTTCAAAAAACCAGATATAACCTCACCCATTATTAACTATGTAAGAACACCAGGCTTTTCGATAGAAGAAAATAAAGCTAAACAGAATTTTGGCCCATGCACAAACTGTGAAATAGACTGTGCCATTAAATGCAACAGTGAATTTAAGAGTTGGTGTTCACATTTTATGGTAAGGCACGATCGCAATAAAGCAGAATGCTTCTTCTATGACCTGTTTAGTGATACAGCAGCAAATAATGTAATTCTTCAGCAAATGGATAATAAACAAATATTTACCAAAGTAAGTAACCTAGATTTTGCCCTTGACTCTTTGAATAAGCTTAACCCTTTCCAAAGTTCTGACATTTTCAATTGTTTCCAGCCTGATTCTGACAATAAGCAAACAGAAACATCTTTAACTCGTTTTGATAAAAACAATGGTAACAGTGACAGTGCAGTTCAGCTTAGACAAAAGAGAGGGATTGGAGATTTCTTTAAAAGAATAGGAAACGCTCTTAAAAAGGTTGGTGAGGTTTTTGTTGATACTGTTAAAGATACAGCAAAAACTGTCGTTGATACAGCTAAAGGAGTTGTAAATACTGTAAAAAATGTTGTTACAGGGGACTTTGGTCAAGATAAGGAATCGTTTGTTAACATACCAATTGTGAAAGATGTATCAAATGCAGTAGAACTTGGTAATGGAGTTGTTACAGGGGATTGGGACAAAACAAGGGAGAATGGTTCTGAACTCTTACAAGGTCAAGCTTTAGATATTGCAACATCTTTGATCCCGGTAGGTGGGAAATTTATTGGCAAAGGGTTAAAAGCTATAGGAAAAGCAGTAAAAATGAAACCATTAGGTCCCAAAAAAGTATCAAAACGTGATGTAGAGAGAGTAAATAATAACAGCAGAAAAGTCCCTGAAAGTAAAAAAAATGTTGATAAAAATAGGAGAAACTGTAAAAAGAGGCCCAAGAGAATGGCAAATAAAAGACCTAGACCTGGTAGTTGTGATAGTGATGATGATGAAGATGATGACGAATATAATTTATGTCCACCCGTTAGTATACCTAATATTATACAACGTACATTAGTATCAGGATGTTCAAGTAGGAAAAAGGGTGCAACTTGTGACTTTGAGTGTGAACCTGGATATCAGGAACCAAATAGCCAAGTGAAATGTGTTGGTAGAGAGAATCAGCGGCCAACATGGATACCAACACCAACCTGTGATAGAATTGACTGTGGTCCCATTCCATATCCTCTCGTTTCATTACAAACCCCTCAGGTTCAAAAGCTTGGTTCTACTGTTTTTGGACAATATGTAACAGTTTATGTTGCACTTTTCAACTTATTCCGCAAGCTTCCAGTATGGACTGTAGCTCTTCATCAGAGTACTCAGTATAGAAGTAAAGATTACGCAGCAAGTAAAGACGTAAAGAGAGCTCAGGGTTATAAACCTTTCCCTTGCTCACAACTGGCAAGTTATCAAGGATCTCCGTCAGATTACAGCGGAAAACCATGGGATCAAGGACATTTAACCCCTGCCAATATTGCGAGGTGGTCTGAAAAAGCAAGACTTAGTTCAAATCTATATATAAATCTTGCTCCACAAGATCCATTCACCAACAAAGGACCATGGAAAAGATTAGAAACTGAAGTTGAATGTTTCAGCAGGAAACATCGAAGTCTTGTTGCTACCGGAATATGTAACAAGAACATTGGAAAAATCAATAAACTTGAAATTCCTTCATGCTATTGGAAAATGGTATGCTACAAAGATAAAAAATTGAATGTACAAGTTGTTGGTTTCATGGCAAGTAACAATCATCCAGCAAACAAAACAGAAAAGAACCTAAGAAGAAAACAAGTCTATACACCTTTATCACAATACGAGGTTCAAAGAGAACTTCAAGCATTAAATGTAAATATAAGAAGCCCGTGGAGACATACAGCTACTACCATTAATGCTGGTCGTCCTATTGCAGTTGGAAACGATGCTTCGGTTTGGTTTCCGGTAAGCCCATTAATATGTGAAAGAGCTGATACTCTATCAGAAGAAGAGAAAAATTATTGGATTAATCAGTTACCTGAGGTAACAGATAAAAAAAAGAGTACTCGAGCAATCAAACGTGGGTGTGGAGAAGATGGTGATGAAGACGAGGGAAGTGCGCTGGTTAATGTCCAAAACTGCAATAAACGTATAATTGGTTACTATACATCTTGGGGAAAGAAGAAAATAAGTGGTAGAGAATTAAGGAGATTAACACATGTAATTTATGCATTTTTAGAAATGAAAGAAGATGGAACCATAGATGTAGGCTCAGCTGATAGAAAAAATGCACAAAATATTAATGATGAAGTAAAAAATTCTAAAGAGCGTTTAGAAAATCTAATGGAGTTGGCAGCTCTGCATTCTCATGTCAAAATTATGTTTGCAGTAGGTGGTTGGGAGAATTCTCAGTATTTTAGTGCTGTAGCTGCTAGCCCACAAAAAAGAATCACTTTTATAGCCTCCATAGTAAAAATGATCCAGCGATATGGATTTGATGGTGTTGATATTGACTGGGAATATCCAGTAACTGGAGGTGCCAATGAGGGAATTCCACAAGATAAACAAAACTATGTTAATCTGATTAAAGAAATAAGAAGTGCTTTGGATAACTTGGCCAGTGAGGTAAGAAGAGAAGAAAAGTTCTTGTTGTCTTTCGCAGGAGCTGCAGGGCAGTGGATACTAGATCCAGGATTTGATTTGCCAGGATTGCTAAAGCATGCTGATTTTGCAAACATAATGAGCTATGATTATTTTGGAGCCTGGGCAAGTAAGTGGGGAGCTTATACAGGACCTCCATCACCTTTGTATTTTGGAATGCCTCCAAGATTTTCTGGTAAAACAAATGTTGATTGGACAGTAAAATACTACACTTGTAAAACACAACTGCCGCATAAGATAAATATAGGTTTACCATTCTATGGAAGATTTTGGAAAAATGTTGGTCAACCAGTAGATGGCAAGGATGGAATGTGGAGAACTGCAGAAAGAGTAAACGGTGTGTTTGAAGGGGGGTATAAGGCATGGCACGAAATACCTGAGTTTTTAGAAACAGGGGGGTTTGAACAAAATTTCCACGAGAAAAGTCGTACTCCATATGCTTGGAATCCAGCAAATAAAACATTTTTAGGGTATGAAAACAAAAAATCTCTCGAGGCTAAAGTACAATATGCAGTGAATAAGAACGTGGGTGGACTAATGATATGGTCTGTTGAGCTTGATGATGATGACCTCACATTGTTAAATACTGTCTATCAAGCACGACTTTGTGACAAAACAAACCCAAATGAAATTAATCATAAATGCTCTCCAATAGATGAAAAACGCTGGTGGACATCAGAGGATGGAGATGACATGGCTGGTCTTTGTGGCCGTTCTGCACCGTTGTATAAGGGATATTACCCGGTCTGTGACCCAGACGACCCAGGCTACAGCTGTTGTGGACCCGCTGGGTACTGCGGATCAGGAGAAAAATACTGTGACTGTCCGACTTGTAAAAACTATGGAGATAACCCACAAAAGATTCTAGAGCAGCCTATCAAACCAACTGTCCCTGTTACCTGGTATTTTCTTAATGCTGAAGAAGGAAAACGTGGCAGATGTGGAAGAAAAGTAAACAAACTCAAAGATGTATTTCCAACGTGTAACCCAGATGATGATAATGCATATTGTTGCTCCAATGGTGGATATTGTGGAAGTAAACCAGAACACTGCACTTGCAACGGTTGTATTGACTTCAAGAAAAATAAAAACTACCGTTATGGACCTAAAAAGTAATGTGATCGGAGTGATGGTGAAGACAAAGCAGAAAAATGTGGCCCAAAAGTACCAAAGGTTGATGGAATCTACGAATCAGAATGTGAGCCAAATACTAAGTTTAACTGTTGCAGTAACAATGGGTACTGTGGCTCCGGGCCGGAGTATTGCAATTGTCGAGGGTGTAAAAAATGTACTTAAATATCTTATAAAAATTACTAACAGAGTTTTATTGAGTAAATAAATTTATTTTCTAACGTACCTTTAGAGAGGAAGTTGTAACCGTAATGTTATTCATATTCATATTCAAACATCTTTATTCGTCATAAATCATGTACATTAGTGGTACAGTGAATAGTGTCAGAATACTTAAAATAAAAGTACTATTTCTATTTATAGGAGGAAAATTCATCAAAATAATGTAATGCTAGATTTATTATATGCTCTTTTACAATTTTCTTGAATTTAGATAGGTTCGATTATTTTTTTATGAATTCACGGACAAGTTTTAGAAAATCGTTACCAGCGTATGAGGGGTTTTTCCAAAAATTTTAATTTGTGAGATTGGACAAACTCCCTTCTCCGCCTAAAATTATAAGAATGCACTGAATTTATTACTTGTTCGGATTCATTTTTTTGCGATAACAATTGTTTCATAAATATATTGCCCATAAACTGTAAAAATTTGTAATTTCTTAAAATGTTCTTTTGCCGAGTCATCTTGTTTAAGCTTAAGCATAATTCTGATAGGTAGCATCTTTTTGTCGCTTCAGAATGACATCCATATTTAATATTTTTGTGACCCATATAATGCTAAACCCAATGAAATATGGGAGTGAATGTGGGCAAAATATATACTTTTTAGGGGTTTCAAATTACAATAAAAGGACATTTTTAATAATGCGAACATTCCAGAGTTAGTTTTGGTTAAAACGTTCTGTGTGTGTTTATCCCAATTCAAATTTTCAGCTATTGTTAATCCCAGAAAGTTGATTTGATTTTCCTTTTGAATGTTATTTGAGTTGTAAGTTATTGTTGGCTATTTTGTAATTTTGTTCTGTGCTGGATGAAATTTATAAATTTAGTTTTTTGTGAATTTAATAATAAGTTATGATTGTAGAACTAGTTTCCAATATTCTCTAATTCTACATATGTAAAAACTTCAGTTTCTTCTGGAGAGTTAGATGATACAATCAAATTAGAATCATCAGCGTAAAAACATAATTTAGAATTTTTCTTGTAGGTCAAAGTATCTTCCATGCCCTTAACGTAACACAAAAAAAAGCAAAGGCCCCAAAATTGAACCTTGTGGCACCCAAAATTTAATTGGTTGATAAGTTGACGATGATTTGATAATTCTACTATGATTTGTCAAATGGGTAATTTCCACGAATTGAGATCTATTTGTCAAATAGAAAGAAACCCAATTAAGGGCTCTTTTTGATATTCCAATTATTTTTAAATTTTTTTAGTAATTTACTATGTTTTACACTATCAAACACTTTAGAAAGGTCCATAAATATGCCAATTGCATAATGTCCTTTGTCTACTGATTCAATGACTGATTCGATAAAAGAAACAGCTGAGCTCACAACTGATCTTCCATTCCGTAATCCATGCTGATTATCATCCAAAATATTAAATTTTTTCAAAAACTCTGATAATTGTAAGTAGACGGCTTTTTCATACACTTTAGAAATTGAAGGAAGAACAGACATTGGGCGATAATTGGATATATTTTAAGGGTCATTTTTTTGTGTAAAGGAATTATTTTTGACCGCTTTAATATGTTAGGAAAAATGCCTGAAACAAACGAAGAATTGATCAGATGACATACAATTTTGCTGATGTAGGTTTTTGCAGCCATTATTATTGTTACAGGAATTTCGTCATGCCCACTAGAGTGTTTATTTTTTAAAGATTGAATGATTTTTTCCACCTCTCTTTCAGAGATCGGTTTCAGCTCAAATTTTGTCTTAAACATGTCATCGATAAAATCAGCTTTCACATCAGCCGTCACATTCTGATTGTTACAATTTAAATTTAAATCTAAATCTGTAACCATGTTGCTAAAATAACACTTAAACATATTATGTGTCCAACATACATAAACATATTTATGGGTCCAAAATTGTTTATGAATTTTGATTTACAATTATATTTTCTAATGGTTTCTTGTCATTTTCCCCAACTTCAGAGTTGATTATATTCCAGACGGTTTTCTGAATGTTTTGGGAATTTATTTTTTATATTTTTTAGCCTTATTTAGTCCTCTTTTATAATTAATTAGACTTTTCCTGGTGTAAAAAAAAATCTTTTAAACTAATACTTTTTTTTACTACGATTAACGATATTCCTTAGTGAGTTAAATTATATGCTGTTGTTTCATCTTCAATTCTTTAGTTATCCTTGTACGTTTTTATTTCTCATTGTAACCAATATGTTTTGAAAAGCCTAAACAAAATAGAAAGATTTTTTTGAGACATCATACTTTGTTTCTTCCCAGGAATTATACACATCGAACCAAGATTAATTGGAAAGTAATTGTGTGAAAAGATTAATGTTTTCATGTGAAAATTTACGCAACTCTTTTTTAATCAGCAAATTTACGGTTTTCATAGAATGTTGGATTTTACTTTTAATATCTGTCCATCATGGTCAGATAAGAAAGTAACCAGACCTTCTACCTTTAAGTCAGATAATTATATATTTTTTATCAAAAATTTACCTATTGCTGTCTCCGAATTATTTGTAACTCTTGCTGGGAAATCAACAAGGTACCTCATATTTTGCTTTCTAACATCTGTTGTAACAATCTATGTCTGCTATCCGATACTAAATCATCAATATTCAGGTCACCTGCTACAATATTTTTATAATATTTTTATTAAAATAATCAATTAAAATATCTAACCACTCCAGAAAAATATTTACATATGATCTAGGTGACCTGTAAATACCAATAATGAGCTATTTTTGCTTATTAATACTAAATTTACAGGCACAAAATTCAAATTGCAACTCTTCAAGCAGAACATTACATATATCCGGCACCGAGACCCTCCTCAGCTCAAAACTCTTCTCTGCCAAAATAATTATGACCAAAATAGGTATGACCTATTTTCGGAATTGCTGTACCTACATTTCAGGGCCTTAAAAGCCAACAAAATTCTAATTCTTATATTTGTATGAAAAATAGTGTATAAAGTTGTCTCTATAGACACAATTATTCATATAGTTCCTTTGATTTTGATTCTAAATGCGTCAACAAACCTTCACTTAAATGAGTTTACAAACACGGCTAATCTACCAGTGGGTAAGGTGGTTCCAAACCAAGATGTTGTTTGCACACTACAAATCAGTTTATCTCACTTTTCCCAAAAATATCAACGTGACATATAACCATTAACCAATCAAAGACTAAGTTTAGTAGGTTATATTAATATTTCCATCCTAGGCAAATTGTTTACTGACATGTTGAAACTTATAAACACAAAACATTGTCTCTCGATGCAAGTTTGCTAGTTTATTTATGCATCTTCATCAAATTTGACAAATTTCTTGATTTTATTGTGAGCTTAAACAAATTTTACCAGTGAGAACTTTATGAGAGCCTTGTAGCAAACGTAAGTACTGTATTTACTAAGTTGGGTCATTTATCCATAAATTTCCTCATGTTATAAACCTATTTGAATACTGTACAAATTAACAATGTAAATTCAACGGGGAAATTGAAAATTCCCTTAGTCTGCAAGTTGCTCGAAAATGATTATTACGTACTTTATAAAAAAGTATCTATCTACTAGTAGCAGTAGCAACAAGTAAATTTCTTAAGAAAAAAATATTACCAGTGTGGATACTATGGAACTAGGCCCAAGACAAATGAAATGTTGTGTTTAAATGTTTCTAGACATTTGTTGGGTATGTTATTTATGTACAAATCTATGATGGTAGACTCCAAGATCCCCTTGTCTGAGAATAAGGGTAAAGTATGTGTCATATAATTACAAATGTTTTGAATTTAATATGATATACTTATAATATTATACATACTATCTATAGATATATAGTATAAACTTGTTTTTAGAGATTTTAAGTTAACAAATAAGATACATAAGATAAGGCTTATGGAAATGTTGATAAAAAATGTTGTTAAATATAATTTGTAATAGCATACACTCATTTATTGGTTGGAGATAATATTGTAAATTTGGTTTAAAAGGTGACCTTGTTCTGTTTAAAGATCACAAAATGCTTATTCATAATATGGCTATTGAAATACAGTAAACTGTAATTATAGGAAAGATCTTCGAGTTAAATGTTTGATTTCATAAAAGATTCCGAATACCTTAGTTAATAATTTAGGTAGTTTAGTTTAGTTAATTTAGGAACCAAAGCCAGAATCATACTAAATTATAGCCCTATTTCTTTGATAAACAAATTCATGACTTTAAATATTATGTACATGTTTCTTTAACAAAGCTTTTACTTAGTTTTGTTTTTGGAAGAATTAAGATTTTTCAAAGATGTTTTAAAAAGGCTGTTTGAAAATTATATTAAGTATCTTATTGTGTAGCTTTTTTATTAAATATATAATAAATATGATTTATGATTTCTGAACTTATTTGATTGTATACCTTGTTTATTTATTGTAGAAAACCTTGGTATATCAGACATAATAAATACTTTAAATTAGGAGGAGTCAGATCAGAAGTAAAGAGAAGTATCTGCAATACTGAAACTGTTAACCAACTTTTAATCATATTAATAATAATTTTTATTCTTAAAAATTATGACAATAATTTCTATAGTTAAAAAAAAATTAACATTGTTTCTTAATAGAATTACTTCTAACAATTAAATCATTACAATAATAAGTTCTGACTTTTAGACAAACTGCCAAACGTAACACCTACAAATTGGTTATTTTGATATTGTTTTATTTCCTTGTCTGATTTAAAATGCATTTTTTAGTATTGATAATTCCAATAGTAAATGTTAGGTATAATGGGTTTCATTCAAGTTAGACGACATGTCTATCTAAAGACCTAAAGATGCATAACAGTTGGTTTATGCCCACATTACAATACCTGTGTAGACACCATCAGCCCAAGTAGTCTTCATGTCAATTTTTTTTATTGTGCAGGTAAGTAACTAAGGAAGAATGTTTTGAATTCATGACTTGATGTTTTAATAAAATAAACACAATTGTTGAGTTATTTTATTTCTTTTTGAAAACATAATTAACATGTGGTTTAGAGCCTATATATACAATATTATTACAGGTTGATGAATCAAAGAGACCATCGTATAAAAAATCAAAAGTTACAGTAGGCCTACCATTCAATAAAAAAAAAAAAAAATTAAAATGCTAATTATTTTTTTTTAATTTTCATAACAAATTGAATGTTTATATACATTAATCCACAGTAATTTCAATGACCAGCGTACAAAACTTATACCTTACAAAACTAAGCACAATGAAGATACAATTTATGTATTTAATCTCATGTAGATGATATTACAATTCCACTGTAAAATACCCCCGCCGCAGCAAACCTGCAGACTAAGCGAATTACCATATGCCTGATTGGACTTGCACTAATATGCCTCCTTAAAAATATCGCATTTATCCTCTATTTAAATAGAATTAGTTTAACGAGTAGCCTACTTAGGTTTGCTGTAACAGGGAGGGTAAAAAAGTGTTTTTTTCGTGTAAAATGTTAATAGTTTAGTAAAAAATAAATGTATTTTCCAAATGCGATCAAAATATGTTCATAAACAAGCAAACTACAACAGTTTATTTATTCTCCATAAGAATAACAAGGGAATTTAAAATTTACAGTTTTTTTTTGAATTTTCTCCGTAACCATTAGGTGCATAATAACGCTTCAATATACTAAACGATTTGTTTTTTAAGGTCTATTGAATGGTTTGAAAGAAATTGCTAAATTTTAAGTTTTTGTGGTCAAAAATGAGGAAAATTTATTTTTACCCCGTAAAACCCCCCATAGACCTCCGTTCCCATAGTCCGATCATGCTGGTTCGCGAACTCGTTCGAATAAACGTAGGTTTACACTTTGTACCAAATTTCATCAAAATCGGATGATTTTTGCTCGAGTTATCGTGCTAACGGTCACATTTATAAATAAATAAATAAATATATATATATATATATATATATATATATATATAAGAATTTGAACGGATGGTTTTTTGGTCTCTAGGGACCTCAAAACGAAAAAGTAAATCAGTCCCGGGTCCAGGTCTTACCATGAGTACTACGGTAATAGCTTATTCCCTATATGGGAAATTCGCTAAAACAAAATAGGAAATTTGTTGGCTAAAGATAATTGTTCATAAAAAAATATGAATAGTTAATCACCGATTATTTAATTAACAAGCTCAAAACAGTCCTCGGGGATCTACATTCATGTGATCATAACATTAATACGCAATAATGATTAAACAAATTTAAAGCTTAAATGAAATCTAAACCGTGATAAGAACAGTTTTATCATAACATGTACATCAGGGCGCGACGCAATATGGATGATGCATTGGTTTTGCATACGTTGTAAACTACAGGGTGAATAAAAAGTCAAGACCCCCCCATCTAATATTTTTCCAAGTAAATATACAGAGATATCCTTTTGGTGGTCGTGTAATCTTAGCAGGAAGTTTCATTTTATGATTTTTAAATTTTTGAGTGTCCCCCCAAAAGGGGGGATTTGGGGGCAACTCAAATATTTTAAATGTAAACCCCCTTCAAGTGACACCTCATTTTGAAGGGTTTACAAAAACTTAAAGAATGGTGAAAACTAGAGGTCGCTATCTCCTTTCTATCCAAAATGGTAGCCCATCAAATGTTGTGGAAAATCAATGGTAAAATTGGGTCGTAATGGTAATATTGGCTACCATTTTGGATAGAGAAGAGATAGCGAGCTCTAGTTTTCGCCATTCTTTACTTCTTTACTTACTTGGGAAAATATTAGTTGGGGGGGTCTTGACTTTTTATTCACCCTGTATGTGTTTTTGCAGGCATCATTGTGGTTTACATTTTGCAAGGATTGTAATCATTGACTATCAACCTTTGTTTATAGTTTAAATATTATTTTTTGTTAGTGTAATTTTAAAGTCTGGGTGGTTAAAATAGTGCAAATGAAAATATCCAAAAAGTAGACACAGCTTGCTCGATCATTTGTATTATTTACGATATCCAAGCACTCTTCCATGATATTGTATTCATGTAAACCTCTTTCTCTTTGAATAAATTATTTTGATTTGATTAAAAATGATTTTGATATCCTAATCTAACCTAGTTAGATTTACACGACGCTCTCATACGATGAAGCATAATCAAAGACAGTTTAAATACAGAATAAATTATACTAGAGGTCGACCAGTGGCCGAAACTCAACCAAAAATAATGTAATGTACAAACTTCTCTATTTTCACCCCACGCTGTAAATAAAACATGGGATGATTGTGTAGCAGTCTTCCATTTGCTTTGATTTTCTGTTTATTTATCGTTGTTCTTTCGTCACCAGCATAGCAACCCATAAGGCCCATGTGATTTTTTAATTTATTCATTTGTTGTGCTTATCTTTTTAGCCTATTTTAATTTATAAAGGGATTCGGTACATCTACAGGAAAATGTTTCTAACAGTATGCGTACATTTTCCCTGCGATGTACACGAGCTGAGAAAACAGGTTTAGAAGATAATAATAATAAACAATATTAAGAAACCTGCTTGTTTATTAATATTTAGGAAATAATTAACCTACAATTCATGTTTACATATTTCATGTTTACTTGAGTTTGTTATTTTACACCCACCCACCCCCACCCCCTGTACATAGTATACCACCCCCTTACAAAACTCGTAATAATCATTATTGGCATGAACACATACAAAAATCGTTATCAAAATAATTTATAATCCCAACGAAAAATCATTATTTCTCCAGATATCTGTCTATAAATTAAGACCACAAATCAGCTGGTCAATTATCCAAACTTCGAAAGATAAACTGTTTAGAAACATTGAGAGGTTGACAAACAGAGGTAATTCCCAGTGTTTGGACGTCTCCAACGAAGCGAGACGGGTACAAATGTAACCGAATTATCAGACCTGTAAACCCCCCCCCCTTCTACCCCCCTACCCTCCCCTACATACATCCCCCGAGTGCCCCAAAGGTGGACACATTTGTTTGAACACAGCAACAGCAACAAACTGTAACTCGGTGGAACACGATATGTTTTTTTTTCAGGAGAAAGATGATGTTTTCGGTGTGTTTTTACAAATTTGAGCTTTATGTAAGATTATTTTTTCATAGGGGGGGGGGGCAATTTAACTGTGCCAAAGTAGGTGTCTAAAACTATTAGAATTTTAGAAATTAAAATATAACCTTATTAATATTTTCAATGTATTTTAGTGCAATTTTAAGATGATGTTTTGTTTATTTCCTGAAGCTTAGCCATTTTGCCGATATCAGTTGTGGAATTCACTGATAAATCCATAACAAATTACCAAAGAGGAAATGACACTTTGATAATGCCTATGTTAAATAAAATTTGTTAAGAACAAAAATGATTTACAATACGGTTCACTCGTTCAAACTAGTTAGTTTTCAATTGTTTACGTATTGTAGAACTGGAATTGTTATTTGCAATATTTTACAAACAAAAAATTTACGAACGAGGATGACATGTAAATTAAAATTGCATATTAAAGTTATTGGTTCACTCTTGAACAGTTGCATTATAAAGAACCGTGGTAGTTTAAATTAATAAGGTGACGTATTAAGACATTATTTGAGAAATAATTCATTTATGTTTGACGGGATTTGAACGCATATACAGCAGCCACAAGGCACTAGTGAGACGGTCCGAACCACTAGAGCATCAATGCAACAGTTTAAAAAAAATACAGACCAATCCCTCCAAAAAGTAAAAATCTACCACGAAAACAAAGGAAAATATTGGCGCATTCAATTGTTAGCTAATTGACTGAGTGGAGAGGTAGAAAGAAATTAGCCTGTTACTGTTTTTCATTTAATTACCTCTGACTCTGCGAAACATAACCTACACTAAATTCCCTCTTACCTACACCAGTGACTAAACTACAGGAGAATGTGACATATGGCAGATGTAAATGAGCTGCGAGCGGTCTTCCTTCCGTATCCGGTATACATACGCTATACGTCATACCGCATAGCTGCGTATCTCACTTCGGATAACTGTTTGGCACGTGCCGTCGACGCTATAGTCTGTGTCGAGGGACCTGTCTTCTGAAACTACGTACTCCTGGGGACTGGCCAATGCTTAAGGCTCGGGCCAGTCCTAGGCAGTGGCCAGGAGATACAGACTATAGAAGTGGGGAATCGGTGTGGGGATGTAATTTCATGATGGTATCATTGATATACTGGAAATTTATATTTTCAAACCAAACTACATAGCGCCGAATAGCTATGTGATTTTTGTGCTTACTTTTAAAGGTCACCTGTTCGATCCTGAGAAAAGCCAATTGCTTTTAGATAGTGTAAAAGTGAACCAAGCTGTCTATGATTATAAATGGCTCTGGGAAAAACAGCTGATCTTAGTCAGTAACGAAGCTATCATCTCATTCATTTAACACGTAGCATTTTCTCATATTCACCCTAAAAAAAAACCTCATGGTGAGTCGTCAATAA